CATCAAATCGCTGCCAGGAGACTCAGACCAGACTGAAATCCAAGTTCCCCGACCCTGAGAGCAGCTCAGGGCAGAGCAGCTCATCAGCTAAAAAGCCTCCCTGGTGTTGGCTCAGCACTATTTCAGCTTTAGGACACGAGTCAATACGTTTAATGGCAAAGCAGAGCAGGGGAGACAGAAATCCTTCACCCCCCCCCAGCCACAATAGTGAGGCTCAGGTGACGCTGAACCAAAAAAAATCTCAGCACACGACTGTATTTAGGCCTAAAATAAATGTAAAAAAGGGCTGCACAAAGCAGCAGCTCCTCTGAGCAGGTTGGGGCTGCAGCAATTTGATTAAAGCCAGGAAGTTGAGGAGAGGAAATCTCCAAACTCCAGCCCTGCAGAGCTCCTAAGCCTCTTAGCACCATGGGGCTGAACTCCAGCGTGGAGCTGAGCAAGCCAGAGCCAAACACTTACTCAGCATTTCCACACGATAAATATTGTTTAATCATCCCCTGGTGGTTCAGGAGCACAGACTTTACTCAGCTCTACCCAAACTAACCCAATTCCAACAGAAACCCAAATTACATTAGCGTGTGTGTGTGTGTCTATAATTCTAGCTTTCATTTTAAATTCTTCCTTCATATTAAAAACCATAAACTACAAAATATATCACTGCGTTAAAATTTGGGGTTGTCCTGTTGTGGTTTTTTTTTAGTTTTAACATTTCTGTTGAACTCATCCCCTCTTCATGTGCAGATCTGGAAAACCCCAATCCACATCCCTGGTGTCCTCCACACTCTTCCTGCTGCAAATGGGCTTTCTCTTGACTCACCAGTGAAGAAAAAGGACCTGGCTGGTTCCCTCCCTTCCTCAGAACCCATCAGTAAAAACCTGATGGCACAGGAACTGGATGCTGAATACAATATCTATTTATCCATTTCCCTATTTTCTTTTTTTTCTTTTTTTTTTTTTTTCCCCTCTTCAGCACATTTTTCCAACAGGTCCTTGGAGCTGTGCATGGATAAATCTCCTGGGTGTGAGTGTTCCAGCACAGCAACAGGCTCTGGGATCACATTCCCCTCCTAAAGAACACTGAAACTTCCACCTTTGAGGATGGATGGTTATTTAAACACACCCTACAAGCAATCCCTGCCCTTCTCCCAGGCAGATTTCTGGGTCCTGACTTTACAAAGCTCCATCAGCTGCAATTTTCTGCTCACAAATAGGAGGAAGTGGGGCCATAAAACTGATATTGAAACTTGTTAAGAAGTTGGACATAACTTCACAATGTATTTGGCAATTGGCAATTGCCTCTCACTCAGGTGCCTCTTGCTTTGGAAGCTCTTGCAAAAGCTGTGGGAGTTTTATGGCCCTGGTTGGTGGAGGGGGGGCAGTTTAACCCCTGTGTGTGTTTGTTCCTGCCCAAATCCACCCAGAAAGGTCAGGAAAGTGCTGGGAAAACGTCAAAAGTGCCAAAAAAATGGGAAAAGATTTCACAGAATCACAGAAGTTACTCTAAATCCCACGAGGAGCAGCTGAGGGAGCTGGGGGGGCTCAGCCTGGAGAAAAGGAGGCTCAGGGGGGACCTTCTGGCTCTGCAACCCCCGGAGAGGGGGGGGGGGCCGGGGGGGGGTCGGGCTCTGCTCCCAGGGAACAAGGGA